TAAGTGGAACTTACATCCTGCCTGTGGGCCCTGCCGGGGTTGCCAGCCACAGCAGAGGTGGCACCATTTACTTCCGAGTCCCTGGATTCTGCATCTTGTTCAGTGTGCCATTCCTTCTGCCCCGCACCAGCTGCACCTTGTCTTCAAAGGGGACAGTGAAGAACGTCCCACAGGTTTTCATTAGGCATCACGGGAGGGTCTGACAGGCTCTCTGTGCTTGAAGTTGCGCATTCTTCACGTTCCTCCTCAGCCTGGCACGGCCGCGACGCTGTCATTAAAAATAATAATAATAAATCTGGTGTTTAAAATTAAAAAAAGAAATCGCAGCCTTCCTCTCCCGGACTCATTTCCTGTGGTGTTTCCCTGGTCTAATCGAAACCCGACAGGCTGCCGGCATGGAGGAAGCCGGCCTCCCCTGTGTCGGGGCAGAGTTCAGCATGGAGAATGGTAGTTTTGTTCGAAGGCGGGAAGAGGTGGCCGGGACAGGGCTTCCCCCACAAAACCCAGGAAAAAGAAGCGTCCCAAAGGGCTCCTGTTGGTAGAGCAGGCGCCCTGGCTGGGGCGCGGGCCGCTCACCAGCCTCCTTTACTTCTCCTCCACTGAGGGAACCGTTCTTAAAACAGGGTAGAGTATTGTTCCTTGGGACCTAGCAAGCAAATGATTGGCCAGGACAATGGGCTCAGTGAGACACTCTGGGTAATCCACCATCACAAGATTGGGGACATGACCTAGGAGCCTCACGGGCAGTCGGTAGCAAAACCAGTTGTTGCTGATGTGTTGAGTGGGTACCAAAGGAGGCATTGGATGTGGATGACTTTGTCCCACCACGTGGAGGAACATTTGGAGTCAGCAGGGTCACAGAAGAAGCTTCTTATAGATGGAAAGGGCGCCACACTATGCTTAACGGATTGGGAGCAACATTTTGGGGAGGCCACTCCATGTGGTGCTCACCAGGGTGCTGGTTGTATTAGCTGATGGGCACTGGGGAGCCTCTGGACTTATCCCCCTGGGCTAAAGGACTAAGACACCGGAGCTGAGATGAAGCACACTTTTCCTTCTGTTTTACTTCCTGCTGTCATCTGGGCTTGGCTCAAGTGGGACCTGGCAGTTTATCAGGACACCATGGACACTGTGTGGACACAGATTCACCATGTAATATTGTCATAGCATGGAGGGGCCAGCTGGGGGAAGCCCAGAGTCCTTGGGCAATCACAAGAAACTAGGCTAGAACTCTGGTCTGCTAGAGGCTGCTGCTGCAAATAGAACACACCCCCTATGCCCCTGTGTGCTACTCAGAAGACTTTCCTAGACATAAATGAGGCTGCCGAGCTTTCTGGGACAGTCTCCTTCATTGAAAGTCAAGTACTGTTCTATCATAGCACTATGGATGAGAATGTGTCTAGACAACTGGGATCTAGGTCCTGGCCAACAGACACATGGAAGTGACTGTCACATGTTAAAAAAAAAAAGAAAAAGAGAAGAAAAGAAAGAAAGAAAGAAAGAAAGAAAGAAAGAAAGAAAGAAAGAAAGAAAGAAAGAAAGAAATGACTTGGCATGTCCCTTGGAAGGGTTACATTGTTCTTACATAGTATGGGCTACTTTTGGGTCACTCGAACAAAGCACCCAACAGGGACAACTTATGTGAGGGTGTCATAAGGGTTCCCAGTTTGAGAACTTTGGCCCATCATTGTGGAGAAGGTGTGGGAGGGACTCAGTCCATGGTGGGAATTGTAACTGAGGCCTGGTTCAAATGGTGGCCAACTGGGAAGCAGGCTAGACCCAGGGCACAACAATTGCAGACCTGCCCTTGTAACCTGCTTTCACCAGGGAGGCTGGATGGGAACATTTTAGATCTGAACTCTAATGGGAAAGTGGCTCTGGCTGCTCAGTGCTCATTAAGATAAGGGCGTTGTTCAAGAGTCACAGAGCAAAGGCGAGCCAGGGTCCTCCAGCACTCAGCATACTGATGCCTGCAAAAGACTGTCAACAGAGTGTGGAGGCAAAACAGCAAGGGGCCAGTCTGCAGTAGGTCCAGAGACTTTAGTGAGTTCTCTATACAAGGGCAATTGTGAGTGCAAAGGGACTGAGCACTGGCATTCACTACTAGCAAAACCGATGTTGAAGTCAAAGACTCCAGACAATGCCAATGTTGTCAGAACGAAGGAACCGAGACAGACAGACGTCACCTTGGGTCTGCAAGGTGGAGAGGGGTTGGGGCTCTTGAACAGCGTTGTGGGAATGTAGGTTGACTCAGGTCAGAAGTCCCTGTGGCGGTGTCTGTGGAAGGTCAAATGCCTGCCTGTCCTATGAGAGAAGACTATATCCAGCAGCTGCATATGTGGGACAGGAGTGCTTGATTCATAATAAAACCGAACTAGAAAATACCCTGGGCCCCTCGGAGCAAAAGGACCAACACATGAACAAATACAAACGTGTGCAGTTATACCCGGCAGTGACAATGGTGAGTGAGGGAGTGGCGTGCAGCGCAAGCTTCTGTTAGCGGGATGTTCCAGCACAGGGGATGCCGTTGAGGAATAATGGAGTATGGAGCAGGGGTCACTCTGAGAGATGAGAGGTGGAAAGGAAGAGGCGTCTCCTCTGGTCCTCAGAAACCCCTGTGCACACACAGGTAAGAATCATTTAAACTGTTTGCTTAGCAGGTACACTTTTGGCTGCGTATTTACAACCTTCCAGTTAGAATTAGGGAAAAGCATGATACGGGTGTCGTTGTCTTCTAAGTCAGGAGCTTACATGAAGGGACAGGCACACTCTGGGGAGATCAGGAGAGGGTTACTTTAGTTGAGGTGGGCATGGAAGGAAGGTGTCACTGAAGTCTAAGCCAAACAATTCTACCCCTCTTCTCCCCTCTTCTTTGTGCGATTTCAGGCTTTTATGTACAGACACCAAATACGAAAAGGTTAAACAGGAATTTCATGGCTCTCATTAAGTCTAAGCACCCAGGTTGCTTTGTCCAGCGGTATCTGTCTTTCCTAAGAACTGGAGTCCTTGTTGGGTCTCTGACTGTGTTGCACGGATTGAGACAAGAGTTCAGGGAGGTGAACCTCCCCAACACATGGCAGGAGCCTGGAAAGGCAGCTAGGGGTGGGGTCATCTTTGATAACAGAACTGTAATAGTCACATAGCTATGCAGAGAGAGCCTTCGGAGGGGCCCAGGACTCAGGTTCTCAGGACTGACTCTCCCCCGACAGCTTGAGTCTCGAGAGTCCTTTGCACAATGACCGACCGAATGAAACACTGTCAGCAGCAGGTGAACTGGGAAGTGGTTGCTCCTCAGAGGTAACACGATCTTTCAGAGCAAGTCGGACAAGATGTAAAAGCCACAAGACAGCTGGTTAAATATCCATTCCTGCCCAGGCTCTGGGATGCCTTCTGTCCACGGCTGACTCAGAATTGAAGACTGTCCTTATTCAAGAGTCTACTCTGAGCTCACCTGCCCCACCCTTGGAGAACCAACATGGAGAATGACTTTCAGAGTCAAAGCACATAAAGCCACAAGCGTCTAGTGAGAAACTGATGTGCCCCTGACTTTATGCGTTGTGCTATTGGCCATGGGTGACAGCTGTGCTCATCAGGAACTTACCCTGTTCTGTTTTAACCACATCATGCTCCCAAAAGAGATGGGAGCTCCTCACAAAGCAGCCTGGATTTGGTGGTCCCTTTGAGTTGAGACTATGAGCTTTCATTCTTTTTGTGGCTGTTAAGAGAGCCCTGAGTGTTCTGCAGTCTTTGCTAGAAGGCAGGAAGCCAGCATTTACACACACACACACACACACACACACACACACACACACACAGAGAGAGAGAGAGAGAGAGAGAGAGAGAGAGAGAGAGAGAGAGAGAGGCTCAAGTGGAAATTCTTAGTGCCCAGGATCATTTGAGAAGGTTGGAATTCATATACATAATTCAGGGAATGTTTTAGAGGCAAAGTTGATTCCTTATTCCTTTGTGCCCCAGGTGTCCTTTTGTTGGGTTATGGCAATTTTGGAATTCTGTTACGCTTATTAATATGCATGGCCCACGCACCTGGCTAACGCCTTTGGAACTGCTCCGCATCTCCTGCACCTGGCACCTGATGGACACTTAGCAAAGATTTGTTGAAAGACGTTAACAAAGGGCGAGTGAGTGAATGAGTGTGAATGATGATGCGTTCTTAGAAGGCCAGCACTCTAAGGGTCTGTTTCCTCATCTGGAACCCAGGGCTGCTGTGAAGGCCAGATGAGATGGCAGAAGCCAAGCAATAGGCACCTTGCTGGAACTCATCATGAGTGCTCAGTGATGGTTTGGATGCTGCTGCTGCTGCTGCTGCTGGTGGTGGTGGTGGTGGTGAGAGTGATGGGGATGACAGTGATGATGGTGGTGGTGATGACGATGGGGATGGGCATTATGAGGGTGACAGTGGGGACAATGGTGGGAAACTGAGGCAAATGAGCTGACTTGGTTCCTTTACTCTGCTCACTGACAAGTCGGTGCTCGGGTTGCAATCAGATTTCCAGTCCTGACTCCAGGGCATTTTTTCACTAGAAGCAAAAGACAGATGAGGGAGCCCAGACCCCTGCTGTGGAACTCCGTGTGAACTCACCCTAGTGGGCTGGGGTCAAACTCTGGGCAGTGGATTGGCTCATTAAACAAATGACCTAATTTAGTGCTTAAGACACTTGAAATTTACTGTACTAATTTGTCAAGTCGTCCAGGACAGGCCAGCCACCAATGATGATCCCAGTTGGTTTTAGTGGAGTTATGGACGACATTCAGATTGCTGGCTCAGGGAAAGGTTAAGTCCAAGCAGCAGTGCCAATCCGGCCCGCAGAGCGCCGCAGAGACTTTTATGGGCTGGGATAAATCTTCTGACCAGACTTTCATCTTCTCCTTTCCATTTTTAGCACCTCTTAAGGAGAATGGTTTATGGAACTAGGGAACAGGAAGCAGGAAGTAGGAAACAGGAAGTGGGAAGGTTCTATTTTGGATTTGGTCACGATAAGCTGGTATCCTTGGTGAGGATCTGTGCAAAGGAGATTGTTCTGGTCAGTGGCCACCAGCAGGGGTGGAACACACAAAAGGACATTTGTCATTGTAAGTGGCCATTCAACATCAAAGTTTAGCCCCAGAAGTTGGGAAAAATCACACAATGTATGGTCACCACAGAAGGGTCTTCTTTTCCTTAATTCTTACAGTCTGACCGTTGGCAACGGGGTCTTTTCCTCTCACTGAGGTGACGCCTGGTCTCTTGCCGCAGAGCAATCAGAAAGAAGTCAGACTGGCCGTGTTTATTCCGTGTTCCAAGAACCAGGGTGAGACCGGTTACTACAGACTGCTTTCTTGGGGCTCCTTCACCCCATCATCTGGACAGCTGTCTGTTTACACAGTGAGGGCCGCAGAGTTCCCCATTTAAAGACCCATCTGGTCCTTCCATCAGCCTAAGCCGTAACCTGGAGACACGAACACCAGCACACCAGGGGGAGTGGAGGCTGGAAGGAGTGTGTTTATCCCGTGTCTGCATTAATGCTTCCTAGAGTTTATTTTCAAAGTGTAAGAGGAACAATGCCTTGCAGGCTGTCAAACCCAAACAGGGCTGGTTTAACTTGGGGCCACGATCCTCCCAGTATTTTTCTCCTGGCTTGAAGGATTCACTTGAGAGAGGGGGAGGTCGGAAAGGCAGGGCAGGGAGGGGGCCCGAGGAGCAGCTCTGAACCCTCCTTGGGGTCTGGCCTGCCCCTGCGGGCCACTGCTGCTTGTCATATGGAACGGATTAGGCCTCCTCTCCCCCACTGTCAACTTGGGTGTTCTGCACGCAGGCTGTTTTTGCTGGGGTCTCGGTTTTGCATTTTATAACGGCAGGAAGTGCCCCTCTCCCACCACATGTGAGATTGTGTGGGAACAGCGGAGGGGGCAGGGCTGAGGGGTGAGCTGGGTGTGGGATTGAAAAGTCTCCCTCAAGGAGCTGGCCGTGTGGGTGGAAGCAGGGAGGGAGATACACACTGGCCAATTTAACTTTATGGGGTCTGGTTGGCAGGAGATGGGGGGGGGAGAGCTTCCTTGATGAAACGGGCCTGTCCCTAATAGAACTGCCCCTCATGTTTTACAGGCCCACTCGGGGCCTGGGGAGGGACCACTGGAGCATGAGGGATCACAGCTGCTGTTTAATTTGTTCTGAATTTCCTGCAGGCCTCACCAGACTTGTACAGGAAATGGGCGGTAAATGTTTAATAGGTCATACCTAACCCAGCCATTAACAGGTGCTGTGGCTTAGAAAGCCCCGACCCGTGCAAGCATGCATACACCGAGCCTTCTGCCTGGTCTTCTTCTGTTTTGTACGGCAGCTTGGTGTGAGGTTGTGGTCTAGCACACCCTGAGACTACTCGGAGAAAAGCTTAGGAGAGGCTTAGGACAGATTCATGGGGAGTCAGGGCTGCCAATCCTTTCCAGCCCCAGCTGGCTGCGTTTCCATGGCTTTCTCACTTCCTTCTGTCGACTCCCTTTTGGTACCCCAACAGCCAGTGGGTGGCTTGGATTCTGCTCAAGGGCACAAGTGCCCTGAGAAGGAATTTCTGGCCCATGTGTCAGGTCACTCGCTCAGCAGGTGACAGGCAGGCAAGAAAATGACAGACAGACACCCTCCCTGGACACCTCCGGAGAGCCAGGAGGCCACTGAGGCTAAGGGAAAGAAAGGAGCTTATGTATGCTGGATGGGGGTGAGGGTTGGTATATCTGAAGCCCCCAGATTTCTCCCATCAGACTTTTGATACAGTCTGAGCACAAGGCTGGCGTCATTCCTCTCACCCTGGGCAGACAGATGGGGAAACTGGAACACTCCCAGGCTTCTTGGAATCCATCTTGGGTCCCCCCCACCCACTGCACAAATCTGTGAAGGAGCTAGGATCTGAACTCAGGATTCTGACAGCAGAGCCAGCCTGCCGTGTCTGACAAGTTTATCCATGATGAAACATTAAGACAGCAAACTCAACCCACCATCCAAAGATATCATCTGTCACTTCCACCGTAGGTTTGTTCAGACAGTGGCACAGCTTCTTTTCAGTCTCTGTCTAGGATTTTTTTCCCCTTATAAATTTACTATTATGGATCTCACTTTCTCCCTCCCTCCCCATTCTCCCTCCCTCTCTCTCCTCCTCCCTCTCTCTCCTCCTCCCTCTCCCCTTCCCTCTTCTCTTCCTCCTCTCCCTCCCTCATGCACACACACACACACACACACACACACACACACACACACACACACACACGTATAATTGAGTGCCATTGCTTGGATGCTGCCTGTTTTGGTTTTTTGAGACAGGATCTTCCACTGGACTGGAACTCACAGATCAGACTATCCTGCCTGACCAGACAGCCCGAGGAGTCTTCCTGTCTCTGTCTCCCCAGCACTGAAATGCCAGCTGGATAATGTAATGCCCATCTTTTAAAATACACACACACACACACACACACACACACACACACACACACCAAAAAAACAAAAAAAAACCCATGAGTTTCTGGGGATCAAACCCAGATCCTTGTGCGAGGCCAGTACTTTCCTGACTGTACACTGCCCCACGACCTAGACCGTGTTGCTGCGTAGGTTTCAGTTGCTGGGCAGAGGCCACTTTCGGTTGCCATTCACCTGTGGAAGACTCCATAGTGAACCCTGGCACCAATCCAGTGCTCTTTCTGATCCCCAGAGCTGAATCCAACACGTTGACCTGAAGGCTGTCCACAGACAAGGCAGACCACGTAGGTGCTCACGTGATTTGGCGACGCCTGACATGTCCTCGCTGCCTTCACGCTCTGTCTTTGTGGATCTTGCGTGGTGCCGGTTATGCATCTGATGAGGGAGCAGAAGAGAGGAACGCAGAGGCTCCAAGCGCAAGCTTGAGAGATTTATACTTATCAGCCACCCCGACTGGAGCAGCTCAATGCCAAGAGCGAGTGTTATGTTATCACATGGTGCCACATACATTTTTATAATCAAAATCATATTAAAAATTGAGTAAAACTCAGTCTGGAAGCTTTTTGGCTGGATGGTCTTGTGAACCTGCCACCGCCGAGGGACTTGTTTGTTTGTTAATCGATTGTTGGGGCTTTGAACTCAGACCCTGGAGCTGACCATCCAGCACTGAGTCTCACCACAGCCCTCTTCACTTTTCATTTTGAGACAAAGTCTGAGTCAATTTCCCAGGCTGTTCTTGAGCTCCCTCTGTAGCCCAGGAAGGCCTTAAAGTTTCCATCCTTCTGCCTTACAGCCTCAGTACTGGGACAACAGGCCTCACCCCGTACCTGCAGAGATCAGAGAATTTTCATGAGAAAAGTCCTAGACAGTCGGGAGTGCCACATGGAAGTCCCACACGGAAGAGACCTTGGTCCCCCCACCCCCAGTTGGTGTTCTGATCTTACAGCAAACGGCTCTGCAGCTTACAGACACCCGAGTTCTCCCAGGAGCCTTACCTGGCTGGAGGTTGGCTGGAGTGTGCTCCCCAGTCTTTCCAATTCCCCCATCACCCAGGCTTGTCAACCTCCTGAAAAACACGTCAATTCCAGCTGTCAAGCAACCCTCAGCTCCCTTCCTTTCTGATGTTACCTGTGTGAAGTTCAAGGCTGATGGAGTTCAAAGGAGGGTCTGGGAACAGCTTGAAAACCCTAATAATCCATGATGAATGGGCTAGACGTGGCCATCCAATAAATAGTCTCTGCTACGGGGCTTTTACAGTGACAATCCTCAGACGCTCTCGCGGCGCTGGGAGCTTGTGTAAACCAGCTCTCACTGGTAAGGGGATAAGAAGGGTGACGCTGTGCAGGCCCCTGCCGGCGTCCCGTCACACTTTGAAGCCCAGCTGCTGAGAGTGGGGCCCACTACTGGCCTGAAAATGGGCGAGTGGCTATCAAGATGCACTGAGCTTCAACAAAAAGATGTCACCCATCACTTCTGCCAGAGGGTGGCCTCTATATCTTTGGCCGTGGGGGCTTGGGCCTGCAGTTCAAAGGCGTGGTAATATTGCTGCCTGAGATGTCAAAGTTCCAAAGCAGATAGTGTCAGCCCTGGCTTGGGAGCTGGATCAGCCTATGGACATATTTTTTAATGACCTTTCAACACTCATAAGTGTGTATTTTATTTTAAAACCTGGCTCTCTTGGTCTATCAAGATATCGACTGAAGTTGGGTGTTACCCAGGCCAACAGTTGCCTGGGCATCTAGAGGAGGGCAGCAGTCACCCCCTGGTACAAGGGTGTACCCTCCAGCATCAGTCCCCACCGTGTTCTGTCACTTTGCACATTTCAGTCCAGCGGTCACAGGTGTGGGGGTGAAAGCAGAGATTGGCTTAGAAGAGAGAGGAATGTGAGCCTGTTTCTCAGGTATGGACTACAGCAGGGGCGGGGAGAGAGGTGGGTGCTCAAGGTGGCTCACATCCAGCCATCTCACTCCTGAATCCCCAGGGCAGTGTTGGAGAAGAGCCAGCTGAGTGCAGCCTGAGTGCCTGTGGCCACTAGGACCCGCTGCAGTCATCCAGGGTAGGGGACAGGGAGGCCATCTCTCTGTGTGAGAGCCAACTCAAGGATGCTAAGCCCTGGCCCTTTCCTTCTCTGCAGCAGGATTTCTCATCCAAGCCGCTGGTATTTGACAGTGCTCTGGCTTGAGGAAGGGGAAGGGAGGCTCCCATCCAGTCTACCAGAAAGGCTCTTTTTTTCCCCTCCAGTGTCGATTTTCCCGTAAGCTTGGGGAATGTATTTGCCAAGCCAATTATCTCTGGGTGATCATCATGGAAACGCTCAGCCATTCAGAGAGTACCGGGTGGGATTGCCTCTGCCTACTAGGTGCTTCCAGACAGTGCGTGAGTGCCCTGTTGCTTCTGCCCTGGAGCAATGGGGTTGTCCTTCAGATAACTCTCCCTCTGATCCTCCGCCTCCATTTAGAAGATCCTTCTGGTGTGGACCCCATCCTCCCAAGTTCTGTCACAATCCAGATAAATACAAAGCTCCCTGTGAAGGGTTTTGGGAAGCAGTGATGGTTTGATTTCTGGAATGTTCAACACAGGCTCACGCTGTCCCCACATTCTGAATGCTTGGTCCCAGCTTGAGGTGCTGTCTCCAAGGTTGCAGCACCTTTAGGAAATGGCCCCTGGTTGGTGGAAACAGGTCCCTAGGAAGTAAGCCTTTGGCAGTGGTATCCATCCCCTGGTTCAGGTCTAGCGCTCTCTCTCTCTCTCTCTGCTTCCTGTCTGCTGCCATGGAAACAGGCTGCTGGTGCTACCTTGTCTTCCCAGCATAATGAACTGCTATCTCTCAGGAACCATGGGCCCCAATGAGACCTTTCTTGCTTAAGCTGTTGGGCATTTTGTCACTGCAGAAAAAGCAGCTGAGGTTCAGGCTCTTTGTCTGTGTTGGGGTTGGAGGATCCTCCATAGACAGGCAGTACTCGGAGGGGTCCAGACCTACCTTAGGAATACAAGCTGCAAGCAAAGTCTCAGGCTGAGCAGGAACGTGCTAACAGACGCAGTAGCGCATGCTAACCCTTCCAAAGACTTCAGGGTGGAGGTGGAGAGGCGATGTGCAGGATGGCTCCCTTATATCTGGAACATTCCCGAGTGATAATGCTCTGGCAAGCAAAACCTGGCCCCAGTCCACCTTCAAGTCCTCATCTGACTGCCAGGTCCCAGCCACAGGCCTCCCTCCTGTCCTTCTAGGGTCCCCAGTACCTCCCAATCAACACTGAAAGCCAAGCAGACACTGAGCCTGTGCAGCCGGGACAGCTCTGAGACCTACCTCTCCTCCCACCCCCTGCTCTCTGTGTTCTCCCCATGGCAAAGCCTTGCAGGCCTTGGCCAGGTTTAACCTGTCTTCAGAGCCCCTTCGTATCTTCTCTCCAACCACAAGGGATGCTGGGATGCAGGATCTGGTCAGGTCTGTGGGTGCTGGACTCTCACGGGGAACGCTGCTGAAAGTTGTCATTGCTCTCCGCCCCTTCCTGGGAAGTCAGAAGGGCTGTGTGAAGCTGCAAGGGCAAGGAGGCAAAAGTGCAGTCCCGCCTACTGCTCCTGCCAGGCTGCACAGGGGCCAGAAACCTGCAGGATGCTGACTGATGTCAGCAATTCCTCCCACAGGAATTGCTCAGAGGGAAGCTACACTTGCCTCTGACATCCTAGGCCTCAGTCTGTTTGTTTGGACCACCGTGCACAGCTACGTAGGTTTCTTTCCATGATGCAGTAGGGGCCACTCTTGATTCTCACCATGGGGACCAACATGGAACCTTGGGTGGGTGACAGTGCCTCTGCCCTTCCTTCAGGACTTGTGGGTGATGCTGATTAGATTTGAAAATAGCACCCTGTCTATAGTAAAGGAAGTTTCAGAGATCTCCTACAGTGGGATTTTGTAAGAGGCCTCATTTTCCTTCAGGCCAAGGGCCTAGCATAGAAACAGTGGAGGACTCCTACTGTAGGTGCCCTGGGTGACACAGGGAACAAGGAGAGGAAGTCAGGGAACCATCCATGCTCTTGATGAACCCGTCTCTACTCCCATCTCAGAACATGTATCTCCCTCTACCGCACCTCAGACAGGTACCTGTCTCTCCCTCATCTCAGACAAGGGGCCTGTTTCCGCCCCTCACTTCAATGGCCCTACCTCCACACCCTCATCTCTGACCAGGATGCTGCAGAGGAGAGAGTTTATCCTCTGGCAGATGAGCACAGTGCACCTGAGTGACCCTTGATGGAGTCTCTGTATATTTCTCTCCCCAGCTTGAGTGTGTAGGGAGGAGGGAGTGAGAGAGACAGGGAGTGGCGATGTACCTAGACCCGACAGGGCAGCATCCGCCATGGGACTGGTGGTGTGGCAGGAGGGTGGTGGCGGTGCTGTTGACAACATACTTAGCAACTGCTGTTGATGACCACGGCAGCACACAGTTGTACCGTGTTGCTGGACTGTTTGGGGAAGACGGCACACTTTTGGCCAGGGCAGTGTCTCCTTGCACTTGGGTGACAATAGAGACTGGTCTCACCAGGTCAGGGGATGTGTCCCTTACAGCCATTCCCTCTGCATTACCTCCGTTCACTCATATTCCGTCTTAAACAATACAGCTCCCATTCTACGCCATAACCTAGATGTACCGTTGCCTCCCCCTCCACACACACACCGTGGCTACCTACTGAAGTCTGTTCAGAAGTCCATGTGCACCCATGAGTATAGTTGGCTTTACTGTTTTACACTTTAGGGGCTCGTCACCTAGCTCCCAAATAAATACATGGAGACTTATTCTTACTTATGAATGCCTGACCTTAGCTTGGCTTGTTTCTAGCCAGATTTTCTAACTTAAATTATCCTTTAGCAACATTTTGCCTCTGGCCTTTTTATCTCTCTTTATTCTATATATCTTGTTTTCCTTCTTACTCCGTGGCTGGCTGTGTGGCCAGGTAACTGGACCCTGACATCTTCCCCTCCTTCTCCCTTTTCTTGCTCCTTCCTCCTTTTTCAAGCCTAAATTTCTCCAATTTAGTCTCTCTGCCTGGCAGCCCCACCTATCCCTCTCTCCTGTCTAGTTATTGGCCATTTGGCTCTTTATTAGACCAATCAGGTGTTTTGGACAGGCAAAGTAACAGTTTTACAAAGTTAAACAAATGCAACATAAAAGAATGCAACACATCTTTGCATCATTAGGCAAATGTTCTGCAGCATAAACAAATGTAACGCATCTTAAATATTCCACAACACATGAGTGATTGACAGAACACCCTGCCCCCCACACACAGTGGTATGGTTTGCACACAGGGTCAAGGGAACCCCTGATTCTGACTTTTCTGCCCAGGCCTTGGTCTACAGAATACCGACGTGTGCCCTCAACGGCACTCACTCTATCCAGCCACACCTCTAGCTCCCAAGGGGCTCTGTCTGCTCCACCTGCCACATCTGGCCCTCAGCCTTGCATCGCCACCACTGTTTATGTGGAGCTTCTGGCTGCAAGTTGAAAGTCCCAGCCCCACTCACATCTCTAAACAGCCACTGCTGCTGTACAA